GCTCCTGGCCATACTACTAGGAGCAAGAAGCTACTAGGGGCTCCTGGATACTACTAGGAGCAAGAAGCTACTAAGGGCTCCTGGCCATACTACTAGCAACAAGAGGATGCAAATACCTTTGCCAGTGCGACTTCCGGAGCTTGGCTCTAGGGACCATGATGTAGTCTGCGGTGGCGGCTTGTGGCAATGGCCCGGAGCACGTCCCGAAGCAGGTCTCGACGCAAACGCAGCCGGTCCGGAAGGAAAACTGACCGCAGTCGCTCAAAGACCCGCAGGTCCAAATCAAGAGATAGGAGGAATGGGAAGAATCGCAGGTCTTCAGAAAGTGCATCTCGAGCACGGTCACCCTCGCCAAAGCGGCGTGCAGCACCATCTCGATCAAAATCTCGGAGAGCTGCTCGAAAGCAGCGGTCCAAAACTCCCGAGCGGGTGCCGCCAACGAGTTTTGCAGACTATGAGCCGTCTCCGGATGGAAGTGGATGGTATGTGTACAAAAAAACCAGCAAATGGAAATTTCATCCAGAAACTGGGCTCTACCTGCACATCAAAAGTGGTGTGTATTACATTCAAAAGGAGGGGGATCCCAAGAATTTCCGAAAGATTGATGATGATGACGACCCGATCGTGAGGAAGATGAAGCAGTCTGAAGAAATGCGAAAGGCCATTCAGTCCACAGAATTTGTTCAGTTTGGTGAGGGTGCCGCTGCAGCTGCCAAAGCAAGCGCAGAGGATGGAGCACCAGCTCCAGTGGAGATTGCGCCCGCTCCACGGCCACCCGAGAAGGAGAAAAACTCAGAGCCAGAAAGTGAGAAGAAGGTAGAGGGGAAGGTCAGAGAGTGGAATGCAGAGAAAGGTTTCGGCTTTATCATTCCCCTGATCAAGGAGGATGAAGAAACTCCAAAAAGCATTTTTGTGCATCTTTGGAACGTGGTCGGCAGCACCAGCAAAAATCCAATAAACTTAAGAGAAGGGGCACGGGTGCTTTACAAACTTGGAGAGCAAGATGGTAAACCTCGTGCCCAAGAAGTTGTTATGCTAGGCAAGGACGGAAAGCCATTGCCTGTGCATGCTGGGGCACAAAATTTAGAAGAAAAAAGAAAAAGCTATTTTGTTACTGCAGATACTCTGGGTGTCCGAGTTCATGCTGAAAGCTGGCCGGGGAAGCAAATTGAGTTGCAGGACAGGTTCACACAAGATGAGGCGATGGATGAACTGGGTGTTTACTTCGGGGTCTTTGATGGCCACGGTGGAGCTCAAGTGTCAGAACTGGCAGCGAGGAACCTGCACAGAAATATCCTGGCCTTTTTTCGCCAGAAAGCAGTTCAGCCTGCATCCAGGGATGAGAAGTTAAAGATGGCTGTGAGAGAAGCCTTCTCTCACACAGACAAGGAGATCTTGGGGTTGTCAGAGCGGAAGAAGTTTGATTCTGCAGGGTCAACCGCTGTTTGCGCAATGCTGCATGGAAATCCAAAGCTCGGAACAGCGCTACGATTAGAACCTTTGTTGCAACAAAATGACTTGATTTGGGCCTTGCATCCTGTCCATTTTGTTTGATGTTTTAACGTTTAATTCCCCTTCATTCTGCACGAGGAAGAGAGAGAGAGAGAGGGAGAGAGAGAGAGAGGGAGAGTGTATATTAATATTGTGAAAAGCCCGGTAGGCTGCGTGATGCACTCCTTACTACTGTACGATGAACTCATTTCTCTCCTTTCTGACATGTGTGTGTGTGTGTGGGCACGGACCATCCTGACCACTTAGCTGGTAGCATGTGCCACTCGTGGCAATTATTGGGTTGAGTTTGTTTGAAGCAGACACTGGTACACGTTCATGAAAATGGACCGTGGCTGGCCAAGGGGTCGATCCCAAGGTGCTTCACATGTCAAGCTCCCCCAGACCAAGGAGTTGTCAAAGATCTTTTCGCATGGTTTCTTTTCACTCACTAGGTCACTGGGGGACCATGACTCATGACACTATGCGCCGTTCGCTTGCACGCACACACACACACACAGACACATACATATTTTTTGCCCACCAGCCTACGTTCCCATGTAGGCATTGTGCTGCATGACATAACGCATTGCCCTTGCAATACGGACTCAATACTTTTAAGTCCTGGATGAGTGCCGGTAGTGTGGCCTGTGCACAATGGCAACATCAAGATGCACTGACATTGCATCAGATCCATGCTAAAAGAAATTATATACCGCAGCAGAGTTTTCCATTTTTTCGGACATTGCCTGGCATCGCGCAAACGCATCCATTGACAGTCGCAAAGAACCCCAAAACCCTGTGGCTATTTACAATCCTTTGAAGAGGAACCTCCCAGCCGTCACTGTAGAGTTTGAGCATTCAAACACCTCCAGACAACAAGAGAGATCAAGAAACTGTGCACAGAAAACAAGCGCACGTTTTCAACATGTCACGATCACGCAGGCCATAGCTGCTTGAAAAGCCCAAACGGCTCCAATCTGAGGGGGCATGCGCGTTGCAACCACAACTCCAAGTCAAAGCGACGAGTTTTGCTTGTGCAGTGCCATGTTTAGTTACTTCATGTGCTGCGTGCATCGACATTCATGCCACATGCATGGGTGAAGACCACGGAAACTTTAATGTTCCAGCTGTCAAGTGCCACTTGACATTTGCCTAAGGTGCTGGCCCATGTTGGGGATTCCAGGGCAATTCTTTGCAGAGCTGGACAGGCAGTTCAAGTGACAGAGGACCACAAGCCAGACAGAATAGACGAGAAGAAGCGTATTGAAAGGGCAGGAGGCCTGGTTTTGAATGTGCGAGGGGCTTGGCGAATTGCTGCCCCCGCTAACCCTCGAGGCTCGACGAAGTCTTCCCGCCGTGAGTACCAAGGCCTGTCCATTACACGCTCCTTGGGAGATGCTTGCTTCAAGAATCCGGCGTTGTCCGCAGCAGATCCTGAAGTTCGAGTTCTTCCCATTACAGACAAAGACCTTTTCGTAGTTTTGGTGACGGAGGGCGTTACTCGTGCCCTCTCCAATCAAGATGTCGTCGATTGTGCTAGCAAGCACTGGGACGATCCTGAAGAGGCAGCCAAGAATGTCGTCCGCACAGCATTTCAGAAGGGCAGCGATGAGAATCTCACAGCTCTTGTGGTGCAGTTCGGGTGGGCTGACAAGCACACCCCCAGATATATAGAGAGAAGACGTCAAATGGTTGCGCAGGGCGTGGAGGGTGGGAGCCCAGTGATGAAGCCAGCAGCAGCCAAAGAGATCAAAGAAATATATACCGACAAGGCAGTGGAGAAGGATGATTTTGACATGTTCGGCTAAGGACTCTTTCAGTTCACGTGCTATCAACATGCTGTGTTAGTTATTTTTTCACTCCCGCATTGTCAAAAGTTCTCACATTGAAGCTCTGCGATTTGTGCTGTCAGCGCGCAGGAGCTGACGCGGGGTCCATCAAGACTCCTGGCCACAAGTGAGCGCTGGCAGAGAGTGGACAGTGCATTCGTGTCAAACACACACAGAACAAAACCATGAGGAAATACCAACCGTATCGTTTTGCGCCATTCTGAAGATCCAACAGCTATATAAGTACCACAAGCCAAGCCTCAGTACGAGTTATATAACAGCTGCAAGTATGGCCTATGTGGAAGCACACACTCAAAACTTAGAATGTGCACGGACCAGTGTGCATCCGCACAAACTGGGTGCAAGAATGCCCCAGCTGATGAAAACGAAGCTGTTTTTGATGCTGCAATGTTGGTAGTTCTTTGGCACTTTCTGTTGTCAAAAACCATGTTACAGGCTGAGACGGTCAGCATCTTGATTTTCCTTCCGTTCCAATTTTGGACTGCCATTCCGCCGCCTGTGGTCTATTGGCAGCTGGCTTCAAGGAACCTCCGCCAATTCCTAAGCCTCCCAAAAATGAGGCGTGTGATTAGATTGTTCACTTAGCCTGGTCGCAAAGTGTTGACTTTAAAGTTGGAACGTGTTTAATTAAACTTAATGAAAGCCAATGGGAGCTTTGGTTTTCTGACATTTCTAAAGCCGTGTGATTCGCGAGGCATGGCTCGAAGCCCGAGCAGCCGAGCAAGGCCAGTTTCAACCTTCCATTGGGCTAGATGTTCCATGGGAGGTGATTCAATGGGCCAACAGGAGATAGACATGGAATATCATGGAATATTCATACCTCTATGACTCTATGATACTGCAAGACCATGTCATAGACCACCACAATATGGTACTAGATAAACTCCTTCAGAAATATGGCGAGCGGCCATTGCCCTAATACAAAGCAACTGTTGCTCTCAGGGTGCCAGGTCCCAAAAAAGAACTTTTTGCAGGTTTGGCGACTTGCTGTGGTGCAAGTTCAATGTTTTCCTGGATCCTTGCCCTGCTTGGCATGTCCATGCCTGCATTGAGGGAAGGAAAGCGGCGAAGGTCGAAAGCTCAGAGTGTGAATTAGACGCACCGTGGATTCGGTAGATTTCAAAAGAAACAGCTGCGCGCCTCGAACCTATGACCCGAGAACAAGGACTTGGAGGGTATCGTTTTGGTTCCCACCGAGTTCAGTCTTGAACTTTGTCCCACCTTAGCTGAGAGGTGTCACCAGGTGTCTGTGGTTCACCATATGCGATTTGTGTTTGATCATGTTGAGTCCGGCCGTCTTGTCCTCCCAATGTTCCTTGTGCCGCACTTACCTAGGCTGCAGGGTAGTCACTTGCGCTTCTATTTCGCAAACGCTTCGGCCGATCTCCGTACGGACGGACTCAGCAAAGCAGAGTCATATTCGACACTTGTGCTTCTATTAAACCAAGTGCAGCCCCCTCCTTCTCCTTGACAGCTCCCAACGACAAATCATTTAGCCTGCTCTCCATAGGATTCATTGCGCTGTGAGCCTTAGGTCAAAGAGGTCTAAAAGCTGCGAGGACTTCCGTTCATTTTTCAGTGGGCCATTTCATCTCTTTAGAGTCTAGGAGAGAAAGAGCTTACAAAGGGAGGTCCAAGCCAAGCGAATAGAGCGGGAGGCCTTTGCAAGTGTTGATTGCACTGCTGGAACTTGATTGTCGTGCTGCCAAGAGCATGTAGCATCCGGTTTCAAGGTCCTGGCTTGACTTGACTTATATACATGCATTTTGTGAAGCGCAGGCATAGATGTGTTTGTGTTTCTATATTCTCTATTTGGCGCCTCGCTATTTTGCAGGTCCAAGTGCGCACAGATGATTACTCGCTCAGTGGATAGATACTGTAGATAGGCATCCTTCTATGTCTATACTGTAATGGTTTCTGTTTGGATCCGCCAACATGATAAGTAGATGTGCATAGATGTGTGTAGCGTGTAGATAGTAGGTCGATGGATTGCCCGTTGGACGAATGGTTGGGTGGATTGGTGGCTGGACTTTCGTCTCCTCCCTTCTCAGGTTGAGTTTGTTGAGCTGTTGCAGGTTTCTCGGACCCTGCGCAATGGCAATAGGTTCCCGCAGCTTTTCACGAGCTCCTAAGGAGGTCGGCTGAAGTTTTCGTTTACAAGGGGCGGCTCAGAATTGATAAGAACCGAATTGATATATGATATATCATTACGAAAGACCCCACCCCTCCACTTTGCGTGATAGAATCGATTGGGACCACCCCGCCGCTCCCCTCCTCAACGAATTGAGAGCGTATTGATTAGCCCTTCTCCCCATCCATGCGGCGAATCTGGTCAATGTTCTCCCTCATTCATGTTCTCCGCTTCTGCCTGGGTTGGTTTGTACGGTTTGTCTTCTGCAAAACGTGGATCCTAATTACAGTATATACATCCAACCAATACAGCCGGGCTTCCTTGGCTTCTTCTCCATGGGAGGAGCATTGGCAACGTCATCACGAGCTTCCATCTTGCCCGACGGTAAGTTCCAAGCGTCAGCATGCATCTCTCTTGACAGAAAGTGCGATGCCGTTTGCGGTTCTTGTTGGCGTTTTGGTCCTTGGTCATGGTGAGGCGTTGGCTGGTCAGAAGGAAATGCACCTGCTTCATCATCAAAAGTCTCCATCACAGAATCAACTGCAGGATCATCAGCTGTTTCCTCTTCCATGTCCTCGTCTGGAACAGCCAATTCACGTGGAGGATCAACTTGAATACAGTAGTGGCAATCCTTTTGGCAACGCGCTTTAATCTAGGGAGCAGCTGAATCTTTGGCCCCTCTTCTGCAATCTGTCGAAGTTCAGTGTCTACCAAGTCCTCAAAAATGTTCTGATGCTCGCTGTTCTTAAGAGTATTTGACTTCTTCCTTGTCGATGCTGGCCTTCAAAAAAAGGAGTGTTGTCATCATCAAAGCTGATTCCCATTCACTGGCAATGTTCTCTGAAGTGTGATGTTCTTCTTCAGGAGTTCTGACTTCGTCACCTTCCTGGCTGATGGCACTCAGAAAAGTCAATGTACATTGCCTCTCAAGTTCATCCTTCATGATGAGCTTATACAGGATCTGAAACCTTTGCCTTGGACTAAAACAGTCCTTCAGCTTCAACAAGGCATGCTGAACAGACTAGCAGTCAGGATAATATGTGAACTGTCCACAATGTGTGCGACTTGAGTTGATGATTGTGAAAGACTGAGTGAGGTATCGATGCCAGATTCCCTTCATGTGCGGCCATTGCGGCCCGAATCCCCTCGGCCTTTGTACCAGGCCTTCAGCCATAGCTACGCTTCTCGGAAAACGTTCGATTGACTTTGCTCGACCCCGCAGTTCGTGTGTTGTCATAGAGCGGCCATCCACAGTGGTGACGCGGAGCTCTTGTTGCGATCCTGGCCTTTGCTTTTAGCCCGTCACTTCGTGCCTTGGACCTGACTCGAGACCTTGGAATTTTCAGCAAGCGTTGATTCTTTTCTTGACTTCGGGCCCGGTCCTTCGTTTCGACCTCGCCGGAAGATCCGGCGGCTTTCACCCTTGAGCTACTACACCACCACCTTAGACAAGCTGTCCCTCGAAGAGGCCTTAGATGGCGACTGGTGGTGGCGACGAGAAGGGAGCGTGGTACCAAGTGCCGACTTGGGATGGGTCGCCATTGACATGGCGATCATTTAGAAGGGAGATGACTTGGTGGGTCAGCAGCTTGGACTTGCAGGCCACGGCCAAGTATAACTTGGCTGCTCGCTGGCTCCTCAGACAGACCGGCATCGTTCGCCAGCGTGGGGAAGAGTTCAATCCCGATGAACTGCAATTCAAGCCCGCTGAAACCTACACCGACCCTGTTTCTGGCGAATCTGTTGAGGTGACCCCTGCAGACTATTTGTTTGGGTTGAACAAATTGCTCACCGCCCTTGAAGCAATCAACGGACAGAGTTTGTTGGATAAGCGTGGTGAGCTTCGCAACTTGTTCTACTTGGAGTTGAAGCGGTCTCCCAATGAGCGTGTTGCTGAGTTTTGCACCCGCTTCAGGACCTTGGCTGCCGACCTCAGTGCAGAGGGAGTTTCGATTCAGAGCACTGAACTCGGCTGGTTCCTTCGCCAGAAGCTTGGCCTTGATAGTCTGCGTCAACAGCTTCTTGAAACTGCCCTTGGCGGCCGCGAGGAGTACAATGTCGTGGAGGCTGAATGCTTGCGCCTTTTTAAGGACCTACATCACAACGATCCTCTTCGCCGCTTTGACCGACAAGGAGACCGTCCGAAGTTGACGATTCGACGGCTGTTTCAATCGCAATCCCAAAAGGGACCATCGTCTTCGGCATCCACTATTAGCCGATCACCGTCTATGTTTTCGGCGGCGACTTCGGCACGCTCTTCGAACTCTACCAGCACGAGACGTGCCTATGTGACTGAGACTGATGATGGTCATGATCAGTCGCATGAAGAGGTTTTGGAGACCGTGGCCGAGGAAGACCATGCCGTTGAGCAAGCGGCTGATCCGACCTTGGAGGAGGTCATCCAGAGCGAAGCTGAGTGTTTGGCCACTGAACTTCAGGAGGCCGAAGAGCAGGGCATCGATCCAGGTGTCCTAGAGGAAATGGAGTCTTCGTTTGAGCAGGCCGCTGAGGCCCTTGTCACGATGAAGGAGGCGAAAAGCCGCTTGCAGGAGGTTCGCAAGGACCGTGGCTTCGGTCGAGCTGGAGCAGTTGGAGGTGGACGGCAAAACGCCGGAGTTCCAGCGGCCAGAAAGGCCTCAGGGAAGCATCCATGCTTCGATTGCAATCAGCATGGTCACTGGGCTGGCGACAAGGAGTGCCCTAAGCCTGGTGCAGGTCTTGGCCGAAAGGGCCCTCCAGCTGCCGCGAAAGCAAAAACGCGGCAAGTTCGTGTGACCGAAGCCTTCCAAGCTGAGCATGTCGTTGTTCCTGAACCCCTTGCACCTTCACCATCGAGTACATCCACACCTTTGGAAAACCCTGGGTCCCCTCACGAGGTCAACATGGTTTTGCACGGGAGTTCAACCATGCCCTTGGGTCAAGCCTTTGAGCAGTCGTTGGCGAATGCCTTGAACTCCACCCTCGTTTCGACCGCCGCACAGGACTTGCCGAACGAGAAGCACCATGTTGGGGCCCTAGATAGCGCGTGCAATCGCAGTTGCGCTGGACCGACTTGGCTGCAGAGCTATGTCTCCCAGCTTGAGAGTGCACCACCGTTCATTCGTGCTTTACTTCACCATGTCTCCGAATCGGAGCGATTCAAGTTCGGCAACGGAGGTGTGGCCATCAGCACCAAGAGATGGCGACTTCCGGCATGCGTCGGAGGCCACGTGTTTTTGGTTTGGATCAATGAGGTCCCCATTCCTTCGTTGGGTTGTTTACTCGGTCGCGATGTGTTGGATGCCCTCGGAGCTGTCTTGAACTTTGGCCAGCGCACCTTGCAGTGCACTTCATTGTTTGATGACTCCCAAAGGTTGGAACTCAAGCAGATGGCAGCCGGGCACTTCATGCTGGAGCTCCTGCCAGAGTCTTGGCCAAGGCTCGGCCCCGTGAAGTGGCGTCGATGCGGCCTTGATGGAGTGCTCGAGTTGCAGTTGACCCCAAGATCATGGCTAGAGCGAAGAGTTGCTGAGGGTTCGTTTGTTTTCCAGACAAGCCATGACCACCTTTTGACCGAAACCAGTATCGAAGCCGGGAAGGGTTCTTTGCAGTGGCATGAGTCATGTTTGGTTTCTTTGTTGCCCTCATTGGCTCGAAGCACGATGTTTGACTTCGCATTGTCACTTCATCGACGCCTTCTCGGACTACCAGAGCGACTACTTGCAGAACGACCTGAAGTACCAGTTCATGATGACTTCACCACCGACATCCACCTTCCTGTCGGACATGGCTGCCTTGGAGGCAGCGCCGTTGGAGCCTTTGACTCCGTCGCTGGTGAAGATCTTCAAGGAAGTGAACACGAAGGGCATCGCGCCCTATCGGTGGAATCGGTTCATCCTCCGCCTCATCGACAGGAGGAATTGGCATGCAAGGAGCCTACTCATTCAGTTCGCTTCAAGAGCTCACTTGCGCTATTTGCCTTTTCCATATCCCTCGGTTTGCTCAGTGGAGCAATGGCTTCTCCAGGCACAGTCAATGATCAACATGAAGACTATGAGCCGGCGGCACCACTTCATCGCCCTCGAGACCGGTGGCTACACTGTGGAGCACCTGTTGGAGCTCGGGAGGTTGAGAGACCGATGTGGCTGGAAGATGGCATTTGTGGAGGACAGTCTCTTGGCTGGATTTCTTGCTGCCCGGAGCCAGAAGGGTCAGCGGGAGAAGCTTCGTGCCGCTGCCTTGGAGGAGACAAAGCAGAAGATCGCCAAGGAGTCGGCCGAGATGGATCGCGAGATCATGGCTCGCCAGTTGCTTGGACCAAGAGGTGGTTTGCCGACCTTGCGAAGCGACTTGGTCAAGTTGGCGCTCTTGCTCAATTTGACCCCTGGACCAAAGGAGACGGTGGCTCAGCTGCAAGGCCGCATCCGCCCACTCGTGGACATCTTGAAGAACAAGAACCCTCCGTTGCATTCGACGCCCTTGGAGGTGCCTCGTGCAGATCCGCTCCATCATGTGACGCCCACGTCGTCCTCATGGTCAGTCGTGTCCGGAATGGAGGCGCCGAAGGCGGCAATGGAGCGGAAGCAGGAGGGATGTCCAATGCCCTCCGAACTTCACCAGATGGAACTTCGTGTCCAGGAGATGATGAAGGCCCAGGACGCTCGCTTTCAAGCCATGTTGGGTCAAGTGCTGCAAGCCGTGAGCCAGGGGCCTCCTCTGTCAGCAAGCGCGGGAGCTTTTCCGGCGCCATCCGAGGTGGGAACCACATCTCCGAGCGATGTGGTCATGGACCTGACCAAGGACGACCTGTGAAGAATTTCGACGACCTTGTGGACACCATCGATGGCAACTTCAAGATTCATGGCAAAGTGAAGAAGGGCATCAGCCAGATGATCTCGCAAGCATGGCATCAACATCGACGAGACCAGATCGCCCTTTCAGTTGGCTCGAAGGAGATCAAGGAAGTCTTCATGGCCACTTGGAACATGGAGATGAGAGATGCTATGAATGAGACCTTCGCTGTGGAACTTCGCATGCCCACTTTTCTCACCGAGGTCTACACCGACACTGAGCCTGTGGCTCAGGCGACTCGTCGCCGTGGCTTGGTTGCTGGAGAAAGCTTGACTCTTGGCACTGGTTGGGATTTTCGACTTCCTGATCATCGCAAAGCAGCACTGGCATGGATGAAGCGTGTCAGGCCCTATGTTGTGGTCCTTGCTTTTCCTTGTGGTGCCTGGTCACAGTTGTTGGCCCTCAACGCTTCCGTTGACCTTGACAGGCTTCGTAGTGAGGCTTTTGAGTTGGTATTCTTTGCCATCGAGGTCGCTCGCTTGCAGTTGAGAGGAGGTAGGCACTACTTGATGGAGAATCCTCGCTCCTCCATGGCATGGAAGCTTGAGATTATGGAGGACTTTGCGCAGTCCACAGGCGCCTTGGAGGTGGTCGTGGACATGTGTCGTTTTGGTCTTCGGGCCCCTGACGGTGAACTTCACAAGAAAGCAACGAAGTTGGTGACTTCAATGCAAGCCCTCGTGTCCGCCTTCTTGGACAAGCGTTGTTTGGGAGATCACCGTCACACACCGGTGATTGGAGGCAAGAAGATTTCTACCGCGGCGGGTCACTACACCAAGGACTTCGCCGATGCCGTGGTCGATGCCTGCATGCAGCAGTACGACTTCGAGAACGCCTACATCTTCAAGGGCTACAACCATGAGTCCGAGGCTTTCACTGTTGAACATGAGGTGATGGCCGTTGGAGATGATGGCGATTTGGACTCCGAGGCTTCATTTGAGGTCTCCAAGGACGATGAGCAGAAGCCCATTTCTGCAGCGGTGAAGAATGCCGTTTACCGCTTGCATGTGAACACCAGCCACCGGAGCAACCAGAGGCTGGCCAGGGCTTTGTTGATTTGTGGAGCCCCCAAAGAAGCAGTTCTGGCAGCCAAGCGGCTGAAATGTCCTGTTTGCGCTGAGCGGCGCAACCCAAAGCCTAGACCGGTTGCATCCTTGCCACCCCCTCGTGATGTTGGCCAACAAGTGCATTTGGACTTGGTCATGCTGGAGGACTCCATGCGGAATCCCTATGTGGTGGCCCATGCGACCGACAACGTGTCTCGCTACCAGGCTGCAAAAGTGTTGAAAGACAAGAGCACTGCCTCCGTCATTTATTTTTTGCAGACGCTTTGGATCCCACTTCTCGGTCGACCACATACCATCGTGGCCGACCAGGGCAGGGAGTTTGTCTCCGCCGAGTTCGGCGATTGGTGCGACAGCCAGAGCATCTACCTGTACCACATTGGAGTCGGTGCCCCTTGGCAAAACGGGATCTGTGAGCGATCCGGCGCTACTTTGAAAGCGTTGGTTGGTGCTGTTGCTCAATCTCACGCCATTGGGTCCTTCGAGGAGATGGAGTTGACAGTTGGAGAGGCCGTGGCTTCCTATAACTCTGACTTGAATGAAGGTGGGGTGGCACCCATCCAGCTGGTCACGGGCAAGATTCCTTCGCCTGGTGGTGATGTGTTGAACAGCTTCAATGCCCGCCTCAGCGAGCACTCTCTCATTGAGGCGAAACCAACCCTGAGCAAGCTGGTCGCGATTCGAGAGACGGCTCGACTCTCGATGATCAGACTACACTACAGTCGAGGCCTACGGCAGGCTGAACTCAGTCGCTCTCGAGCGACGACCGGTGAAGATCTACCTCAACCTGGCGACTTGGTGTTTTTTTGGAGAGCCCAAAAGTATCAGTCCAGGAAGGATGTTGGTGCTGGCACTCGTCGCAGGCTGATGCTTCGACGTTGGCATGGGCCAGGACTCCTCGTTGCTACAGAAGGTCGTCATGGAACTGATTTGGCTGCCAATTGTTTTGTTTCCTTTCGCGGTCAGTTGACCAAATGCCCCTTGGAGCATGTGAGAAAGGCATCCTCGCTGGAGAGCATAGCAGCTGGTTCCTGGGAGGCGGCCATTGATGAGGTGATCAACGCAGCAAAGAATGAAGCTCGAGCTCGCGAGCATGATGACGGTTCTGATGAACCTGAGCCTGATGGACCTTTACAACCATCGACGCCGGAGCAGTTTGCAGGTCAGCTTCAGCCCTCAGAGATTGTGGCTGCACTTCAACCGACAAGTTCGGCAGCACCCTCGCTTGTTGGCAGGACGGCCCCGCCATCATTGCTTGAGACCGCTGGCGAAGGCACTGAGACGCCGGGCACGGCCGCTCCTGGAACACCGGTTCCTAGCTTGATCCTGCAAGCTTCCCAGTCGAGGCTGACGAGTCCTATGGCAAGTTCGACTATGTCCCGCACCTTGGAGCGTGCGAGAGCATTAGATGAAGAAGTTGCTGAACGGGCCGAACGTGGAGTCAAGAGACCTGCAGAAGGTCCACCTTTGGAAGCAGAAGAGCATGGCGCCCGTCCTGCATTTGAAGCCTTGCAACTCACCCATGAGGAATTGCAGAAGATTTCTGATGGGGCGGACGTGCATCCTTTGTTGAAGCTCCAGGCAATGATCGACCTTGATCGCGACCTGGGCAACACTATGGGCGAGCCAGACCATGGCACATGGGACGGAAGATGGAGTCTCTTTTGCCAGCGTGATTGGGACACACTGCAGCGCCTGGGAGCGCAACTTCCTTCAGGAGCACCTCATGATGTGCTGGCACTTCAAACCGCTCGCAAAGAGTATGTCTGGAGTAAGATGTCTCCAAATCAGAAGCAGCTGTGGGGTGAGGCGGCAGTGACTGGATGGAAGGCCTACATCGACAACTCTGCCGTTGAGGTCCTCTCGATGCATGAGTCCAGTCGGGTTCGAAAAGACCTAGCTCGTCGTGGCGAGCTTGATAGGATTTTGGTTCCTCGGTTCGTCTTCACCGACAAGCATGATGGACTTCGAACGGAGTCGCACCCGCTTCCAGTGAAGGCATCTTCGAGGTTGGTCGTGCCTGGGTTCAAAGACAGAACCAACTTGGAAGGACAACTCCGCAGAGATGCACCTACTGGTTCCCGGAACGCCCAGCACATCCTCTTCTGCGTCGCAGCATTTCATGGCTCATGGAACATTGTCTCCAGTGACGTGAAGTCAGCCTTCCTCAAGGGCGACCCCTACATCGACCGAGAGTTGTACATTTGCAACTCGAACTCCAAGACAAGTCCACCTCTTCCACTTCAGCCGGGACAACTTTGCCGAGTGCTGAAGGGTATCTTCGGTCTGGCTGATGCACCTCGCGAATGGTGGCTCCGTCTTTCTCGTTGCCTACAAGACCATGGCTGGACGAGGACCTTGGTCGATGGAGCAATGTGGTGTTTGTGGGGGACCGCTGATGATGCGGCGAAGTCGAAGGGCATCCGCCCCCTTGAAGGACTGATCGTCGCTCACGTCGATGATTTGCTTTTTGCTGGCAGCGCTTCTGCAGAGGCTTCCCTGAACAAGATCGGCGGCGAGCTTGGTTTTGGGTCCCAGGACTTGAACGATTTCACTTGGTGCGGCAAGCGCATCCGACGCGCACTGGATGGCACAGTCCGCCTGAGCATGATTGAGTACCACGAGAACCTCGCCGAGGTCATCTTGAGCAGGCAACGAAAGTCAGATCCTAGCGCCTTGCTGGAACCACATGAACACCGGCAGCTTAGAGCGATCCTCGGATCGTTGCAATGGCTTGTGGCCCAGCTGAGGTTTGATTTGTCTTTTGGTGTTTCATCCCTACAGGGTGAAAACCCCCCAACAGTCGGGACTATGCTCCGAGCCAACTCCTTGGTTCGTGAGTTCAAGCGCGCTGGAACCTTTGAACTGGCTTTTCGTCCGATCGATTACCGTTCAGCTGGCGTCGTCGCAGTCTCTGACGCAGCCTTGGGAAACGTGCAGCTGTCTGGCTCTTCTGACGGAGCTGCTTCTGAGAAGGTCTACTCTCAGGCCTGCTACTACATCCTGCTGGGTGATAGTGCCTTGGTTGACGGAAAGCCGGGACAGTTTAATGTCCTAGACACTCGGTCGCACCGAATTCCGAGGGTCTGTCGTTCGACCTATGCGGCCGAGACATTGGCCGCTGAAGGGGCACTTGATGCTGGGCAGCTGGCACGCGGCTTCTTGGCGACCGTCCTCGGGAAGGACATGCTTGGTGTTCGCGCTGACAGCTCCATGAACGCCGTGAAGATGACCGGAGTCGTTGACGCCAAGGACGTTTATGACAAGTCCGACAGTGACACGGCTTCCTTTGGTTCACAAAAGAGCCTGGCATTCACCATTGCCTGGCTCAGGAGCTTGTTGAGGCGACCCAACACCGCCTTGAAGTGGACAGCCACGTCCAACATGTTTGCAGATGCTGGAACGAAAATGATGAGTTTGGATCACTTGAGAAAGATCCTTAGCTCAGGCACCTGGTCGATCTCCTATTCACCGGAGTTCCAGAAGCAGGTCTATAAGGCCAAGTCAGCGAAGCCTTCAAAGAGCTCTACAGCATGCGCTGAGCTGCCTGGAGTGAAGCTGCATGGCGATGACCCGATGCTGCCGCATCTCCTGACGCTTTGTGAGAAGCGCGGATGGCATCACCAAGCTGGAATGGGAATTCAGGTTGCTTTCAATGCCAAGTCCATGCGGACCCCGACTTGAGGCTGGCACTGCTGTTGGTGAACTTCCCAATCAGCATGCGCTGATCCCTGTACCGGCAGAGGTGTTAGTCACCTTTTTCCATCCGATGTCCACTCAGCCTTTCTGTGGCACAAGCTTTAAAGAAGAAGATAGGATGAATGTGAAAGACTGAGTGAGGTATCGATGCCAGATTCCCTTCATGTGCGGCCATTGCGGCCCGAATCCCCTCGGCCTTTGTACCAGGCCTTCAGCCATAGCTACGCTTCTCGGAAAACGTTCGATTGACTTTGCTCGACCCCGCAGTTCGTGTGTTGTCATAGAGCGGCCATCCACAATGATCTACCACGTCATCTTTGGAGAAAACTTGCAGTTCTCAAAGTTCTTGTCAGAGTTGTGGAGGATCCAATGAGGTAGTTTCTGCATGTAAAAGTCGCGAACCATTTCTGTAAATAGGCTCATCATCTCTGCAACCTTCTTGTCATACTCATAACTCATGCGCAACGTGAAGAATGTTGCGTCCCTAAACGCAAGCCCTTTGTTTGGATTGTACTCATGCCAGTTTGGCTTCTAAATGTGAACATCCATGCAAGAGATGTATCACGCTCAAGTGCTTCCACAAATCAAACCGCTTCATCTGAGCCCTTGCCATGATGGTGCTCCAATTGCGCCCAATTCCTTCCAAGCTCCCAGCCTTTGATGAAGAAATGCTGGTATCCGCTTATTGGTACCCTGGTTTCATACAACTGTTCCTCAGGCTTATGATTCGATCAGGTAAACAGGAGAAAGGTCCAACTTACAAAGGAACAGTTTCACGGGCATGTGGCACATCGCGCCATGCTCATCTCATAGCGCCTGCGAAACCCTGTGGCAAAGGGCCTCTCTCTCTTATATAGTATATATGTACTTGTTCCTAGTCTGACTTTGAAGACGGGCTCCAAATCTTCCAGTATTGAGGTGTTTAGAGATAGCGAAGGTTTGTTATGGATTTGTTGCTTGTGAGTGATCTTGGTTTAGCTTCAAAGCCCTTGCAACTGAAATCGCGAGTGGGTAAATTGAGGTGAGAACAAAGTGAAAAACAAGCCTTTGCATCCACCAGACTGATGAAATGACAAAGAACATCCAAAAAACATGTGCAAAAAAGAGTTATCCCGGCAAGAGACCCCAAACAGTGTGTGTGAGGTCTGTAAGCAGAAAGTCTAGAGATCTATATAGACGCATTGGGGTCCAGAGAGGTGAAGTGAAGGTGGGTGTGAGTGAGTGTGCGTGAGAGTGAGAGTGTGAGTGAAGGTGGGAGAGTGAGAGTGGGGGAGTGAGAGAGTGAGCATCTGAGAGCACAAAGTACTGCACCAAAATTTGCACTTCGAGGTTCACCAAATGCTGCGCCTGCCACGAAATCTGCACTTCGAGGTTCACCAAGTGCTGCGCCTGCCACGAAATCTGCACTTCGAGGTTCACCAAATGCTGCGCCTGCCACGAAATCTGCACTTCGAGGTTCACCAAGTGCACCTGCCACGAAATCTGCGCTTCGAGGTTCACCAAGTGCTGCGCCGGCCACGAAATCTGCACTTCGAGGTTCACCAAATCGCTGCGCCTGCCACGAAATCTGCACTTCGAGATTCACCAAGTGCTGCGCCTGCCACGAAATCTGCACTTCGAGGTTCACCAAGTGCTGCGTCTGCTACGAAATCTGCACTTCGAGGTTCACCAAGTGCTGCGCCTGCCACGAAATCTGCACTTCGAGGTTCACCAAGTGCTGTGCCTGCCACGAAATCTGCGCTTCGAGGTTCACCAAGTGCACCTGCCACGAAATCTGCACTTCGAGGTTCACCAAGTGCACCTGCCACGAAATCTGCGCTTCGAGGTTCACCAAGTGCTGCGCCTGCCACGAAATCTGCACTTCGAGGTTCACCAAGTCGCTGCGCCTGTCACGAAATCTGCACTTCGAGGTTCACAAAGTGCTGCACCTGCCACGAAATCTGCACTTCGAGGGTCACAAAGTGCTGTGCCTGCCGTGCGCATTTTGGTACATGGTGGTCACTTTTCGTGGCAGGCGCAGGGGAAACCTTGTGTTTTGGTGCTCCAAAGTCGACTTTTCGTGACAGGTGCAAGGGATCGGAGCTGTTCTCGGACATGTTGGTGATCGTCGAGGAGCTGAGATTTAAGTGAATCGTGACTTTTGGACATGCGGCTCGTTTGCAGATTTCGTGGCACCACAACGAGAGCGCAGTCGCGACAAGCACACGCTCCGGCCACCCAGATTCCCCGAGCCTGCGCAGTCGAAATGCACTTGTACTGAGTTAGCCGGCGCCCGCGCGCTTCAGCGATCTAAGCATCAGCTTCCTGTCACCTACCGTAAGAACCCCTCAGTGTGCCCACGCTGTTTGGGGAACATGTGCAAACTCGGAAACGTGGCAGCATAAACTGGGTTTAGGCTGCTATGTGCGCACCTTATGCATTTTTGCACCTGCTGCAGTCTGCTGCGCTGCATGCCTTAAACGCATGCTGCATTCGTACGATTGTGCACGATATGCCGTTCGGTCCATTGAAGTGGTACAAGTTTGCTTGAAGGTGCAGGGGCGAATTGTGCAAAAGCTTGGCGCCAAGGAGTTTGAGAATACCATCCAGGCACCCTGCAGTAAATTAAGAAAAACTCCTTCAACGCAGACAATAGGCACCTGTTCCAATGAAACTGCATGTTTGAGGACGGGGCGCTGGCTGAGCGAGAGAGAGAGAGAGTGAGAGAGACCTTGATGCTGGACAGTGGTCTTCACGCTAAATGGTCTAAAGCCCTTGCACCTGAGATTAACAGCGAGGAAAAGATACAACAAGAAATTGAGCGGCATTATAGCCGGCTCCCTGGGCTGGCGATGGTTGCACTTTGCAGGAAAGCTGTTGCTTTCATATGATTCAATGATGTTTATGGCTCGAGGTTTAGTCAAGATTGAAATGGAGATTAAAAAAAAGAAGCTGCCATCCCTGCATTACTTAACGCGTGAGCAACGCAGCCTTTGCCAGGGCCCTGTTTGAGGCATTTTTTGTAGTTCGTGTTGTTGTTTTCTCTATTTTTCGGGGTTTGGGATCTTTATACAGGATGCGGAGCATTGCCAGCAGCCCAAACGACATGACACAAGCCGATCCGCCGATCAAGACTTGAGATGTCCCATTGCCACATATTGCCTCCTAGCCAGGATCGAAGAATTTCAACAACAACGCGATCAAGAAGAACGATCGAAGCAGGAATGCCTGCTTCACGTTGCTGAGCTTCAATCACAGGCCTTGGTCACAAAAAGGCTTCGTGCCAGGCTACGTTGGACAAGCGTTTTTATTATGCAGCTGGTGTGTATGTTTCTCCGGTTTCAGGAGCTAGAGGCGATCATTCGCACAAATCAGCAGCGCATGCAGGAGTGGGGGACACGCGTAGAAAGGCGCTTGACATTGGCCAAGAGAGCCTTGGGTTTTGGAGGAGCAGCAGCAAAGGGTGGCACAAGAGTTGGGGTCGCAGGCGCTTCAACTGTGTTTGAAATATGGGTCATCTACGACTACGACATGACCAACACAGCATGGCAAACTCCAACTTGTGTGAGTTTATCATTTTGATCATTGCTTGCTGAAATGATTGAAGGCCGAAGGCTAGTACACATTCGCCGATGGCCTTCATTGTTTTCGAGTCCTTTCCCCGCTCCCGACGCATAGTTGGCACCGCATGTGCTTACATAGGTTCAACATGCAAACAGGACGCCGTGGAAACCGAAGTTGAGTTGTGAGTTGAAAGGGTGTTACACTGATGGGCCTTAATATCGGCATAGGTATCAAAAAATAAAACGAGCATCAAAAACAAATAAAAGAGGGTCAACATAAAAATAAAAAGCGCATCAAAAAAACTATTCCTTGATAGGCCTCTTCTGCTGCTCTCCTGGCCCTGTGGTCTGCGGGTCCTCTGGTAATAAGGTCCCTTGGTCCACTGGTCCTTTGGTCCCCTGGAAGCCTTCTAGTGCTCAGATCTCGCTCCACGGCGTACGTGCTTTCGCCATGGAATAGATGGCCCGGGTTGTTGCTCTCTCGGAGTCCCGGCTCCGGCTGCTTTTGCTGGGGACCTTGTTGCTCCTTTTCGTGACCAACCTCCACGAGCACCCTGGCCAGAGGATCTCGACGGCTCCCATGTCTTTTAGAGATTGTGCACTACCCGGTCCCAATTCCGGGGGTTTCCAGATGCCTGGCTTCGAACATTTGCAGCTTTTGGAAACTGAAGGTGAGGGTAGAGCGCATACCAGGGTGCGCTCGAAAGGGGTTAGTTGCAACCAAGCCCCCGACAAGAACCACTCCGAAAAACCTGGACTAGGGCACCCCGAAGCGCCCCTCGGGGCAACACACCCTCCGGTCAAGCGAAGCTTCAAACGAGCTCTACGTCGCCTAGAGCTCAATGGCTTTGTGGTCTATAGAGGCAAGCTGCACACCTCCCTCCCTGTTCCTCAACCGCTGGCCACTTCCACTCCCTCTTTGAAGTCTACAGAGAGCCGGACGACCTCCAAGAGGAACAAACCTGGGAAACGTGCAACTATGTTCAGTTGGAATTGCCAATCCATGAATAGTGCCATGTACATCGAATTATTGAACTGGATCTACATCCAACAATTTGATCTTGCCCTGTTACAGGGCACCTCCTGGTCACTTGAGGAACCTTGGGAGACTTTTGGATTTGCTGCTTTTCCGTCGGCAGAGCCATCAGGACAGAAAGGTGGTCTTCTCACACTGGTGAACAAGCGCTTCTGCCCGATCCAGAACGTCAGCTTTGCCTCACCACGACCAGGACGACTGCAGCACCTCAGATGTCACTTGGGTTCCAACAGTGTGGATGTGGTAAACTGTTACCAGTATACAACCAACGTCACAAAGGACCGAATGGACCCAATCAAGTTTCGTAAACTCTTTTGGAATGATTTGGATCAGATTATATGCAGAGCTCCTTTTCGGAATGTGCTGGTTATTGCGGGTGATTTTAACTCGACATTACACTCCACCTCAACTAGCTCTCCTACGCCGGAGTTTGCAGATCTGGCGCAAAGAAGATCCTTGTGCTCCTTGAGGTCCAACGACAGAACACCTTCCTTTGTGGGTCCTGCTGGTTCCTCACACATTGACTACATCCTGATGCGTCGACCGCAAGCGGATCAC